GAAGTGGCCTAGCAAAGCCATCGAATTTAACTCAGTTTTGCTTTTCAAAAGGCTATCCAATCCATAATTGACTGCCATTTATATATAGCCGAGGTCTCATCAGCACTTCCAGAGGGATTCGATACTAGATTGAAACAAATAATATAAATAATAAGAAAATTCATTATTTTGGGATATTAACTATCAGTACCTAAAACATCAATCGACAATGGGTGCTTGCTTATAAATGAGGCAAAATAATCTGGTAATCGTGACATCGCTATCATAGCAATCAAAATATCTGAATAGGATTTTATCTTGAGAGCCAAGCTAGCTTAGTAATAGGACCTGCTTGGAGATCTTTTCGTGTACACCTCAGCCTAGAAAAAAAATTTGATGTGCAGTTAAAGCAATCAACTTAGCATTTTCAGGTATTTAATTCTTAATTTCCTTTATTACACGTAGTTATACTCTCTATCAGGCCTCTGTGAATCAGACATGTGATGTAAAAAAATCTTGAAAAACACTCCAATTTGAGATCGAAGGTATGTATTTAATGTTCAAGGAGCTAATTAAGTGTGCAGGAATTACTTAGGCAGAAAGTCCACTAAAGGTTACTGACTGTCCCCGTAAATAAGTTGGCTTTGAGACGAAATAAATAATCCATAAACGCAGTCTTAAGATATAAGCATTTAACTCGTTACAGATAAATGGTCTAAATTGCCATTTTATCAAAAAGAAGAACACAAACATTCTTAAATGGGTTTAAGACAGTCTACAGAGCCTATTTGGCTTCTAAACAAACGATGGAAAACGCTCCTTTAATATGCAAGTATAGAAGATTTTACAGCTTATATCCAATGCCAAATGAAATAGCGCTAGTATTAAATAGCATCAATACATTTTGGTAAGCGGACTACTCAGAAGAATTCAAAAGTTAGTTAAATGTGCTCGAAGTGTGGGATTAAGGTAAACATAAAATATAAATCCAATGAGGATATGGATTAGATACGTATTCAAATTGCCTTACCCAAGATGGCTCGCCTTTTCCCTTCTCCCTCATAGCCCTGTACCAGGAAGCTACGCGGGCTGCAAGACGCCTCTCCCAGACAGCATAAGGCAATGGTGCCACCGTTTGAGCGAGGCTTCGTATGCTTCGCCCAGACGATCCGGACGCCCCACGTCGCTTTACAAATCTGCCAAGAAGAGAAGAGGATGACCAGGTGCTCGGAGAAGCTTCTCCACTAATTGAAGCTGAGAAAGTAGCGCACCCGCTTTGAGCAGATGCAACGTTCCCGCAGGACTCAGTAGAAGCACTTTCCGGATCGATATCCCCAGAAAGTCCATTGGAGCCAGATACATTTATTTCAGAAACCTGTCCTGACCCTACTGATGGAAGGCTTGCTAAGGCGTTAGCTAGATTAGTGCGCTCTCTTGGGGTGGCCAGCAGAGCAGACATGCAGGCAGCTAATGTTTGGCTACCTTCAGGGCAAGCAATCAATCCAAGCTCCAGTTCATAGAGAGTCAAACCTCTATTCACATTCGTTGTCAAACCACCGCCAGAAGAAAAGGCATTTGCAGCGGCACATATGTTAAGACATTCGCTGATTCCAAGAAACGGATCCGCCAGCCAAAGTAATTGATATGCTTCGATTAGCTAAAAAATATTAACAGCCTAGTAAAGGATAATATAAAACATCGTAAGGGCAGCATTATTCGAAAAAATTAGTTACATCTGGCGTTTGTTTTATTGTGTTAAGATGGAGTTTAGATTTAAAAGGCCTAGAGAGCCACCATTCATCCCATGTTTCTATGAGTTCCTCATCGTGTCTTCGCCTTCGCCACAAGGAAAGTCTATTAACGATTAAGGCTACTCGCTCCTCATTTGAAAGGCTTGTGGCTAATGCAGGAACTCCACCATAGCCATCATCATCAGAGGTAAGAGTTTCCCAAAGGCCTCCATTGCCGCTAGAGTTGTTACCCATTGAAGAATTGGTGCCGGATATTAGAGCCGCACTTCCAACATGTTCAAGTTCATCCATCAAAGCTCGAACTGGAGTGGCCTGGCGGGAATCGCCTATAGTAAAAAGCCTGCTGGTGTTTCGGCGTCGAGATATGCCTATGCAAAGATAAAAAACATGATAATCAGACTTTGGGGGAAATGTACGCAAACTATTAGCAAGATTGAGATAAGCCAATTTGAAGTAGGCTAGTAATACAAGGATTTAAAGAATGATCTTAAGTAAAAAACGCACCGCTTTCAGCAATATCATCTGCAGTGGTGCCACAGCCAAGTGTAGCTTGAATAGTAGTCTTAGCTCGGATTTCACTTTAAAATAAAAGAAGAGTTAATTAGCTGCA